GACTGTACGATGAAAAGATCCGGTTCCCCGGATTTACCATTCTGTACATTGAACTGTAAATGGTATCGCGGGTCCCCGCATTGACACACGAGATCTTTTACCTAATATGATACTTCCGAGCTACAGAAGATATCAATGTGAGGCTTTCAAACGGCAATGCCATGTGTTTGGCGTATCGCTACTCAATATATCAATTTTGTTAGATTTTGGTATAGTATAAAGTTCTCGCCTCATCCATCCGTGACCGTCACAAGGACCATGGCTGTGTCTTCCTTTGCTTTGCCAGCGTTAGGCATGAAAGCTGTAACCCGAGATATCAAAGTCACTGTAGCATTGAGTGTAAACGTATCATTAATATTGGTATGAAGGTTGAGCTGGCGATGTCTATGACTCCCTTTGCTCACCTCATCCCGTACCCGAGACGAGCGGAAGGTAAGGCCCGTTCCTGTTTCTAATGGTTGGATGAGATGTTGGTATGAGTCGACGAATTTTTCAAGAAGCTGCAAACAAAAATAAAAAAGGTCTTTCCACTGAACATACCGTATCTTGCATACCGACGTCTCGTTTACACGGTGTAATAGAATATTGAAGATGGATGGTTTGCAAGCAGGCCAAGTAACTTGGTAAGGCCAGGCCTGGGAGATTTTACGACATTACTTCCACCCCTTACGGCACATTCCAGTTCTGTCTCTCCCCATGTTTTCTAAATCAATCTGAGAGCATACTCCACATATAAGACCGAATGCAGTAAGACTTCAATCATACCTTCATATCCCCTTCTTTAAATTTGACAAGTCAGAACATGGGGGTTTAGGTTGTGATAAGTCTGGCAGCAACCGTGGATGATTTTTCGATTCCAAGACAATCAAGAAACCTAAAATCTACCTACTTAGATAAGCTGAACCCAAAATTTGTTCTCATCAACACGAAATAGAAAAGCGACGAATGAAGAAAGTAAAACAATTCATTTTTAGATTGCCAACATCATCGATCGTAACATTTGGCTTTTTGTACAATGTTGCTTTCGCAGCTACCCAGCTTCTGCCTAACGTAAACGCTGGCGCTCTCTCTCTGTATGATTCGGTCAAACATCAATCCACACCGCTATTCGAAAAAGATGAGATGAGAAAACTTTCGGAATTGGTAGTGAAGCATATTAATGAACCATTCATATTGTATGATAGCTGTCCTTGCACCGTACTGTATGATTATGCACATCCCGGTTGGATTTATAGACGGTAGACGGATATACAAATTGTAAGAGTTCTAGAACCTACTTGTCGCACAGGTAATACTTTTCCAACTAAAATCTTCGAATATTTAACTTTTTATACCCTAGTTTATTTATTATATTATAAAATGAAATCAAAAATTATATAATAAGTGTAAAAAGATTTGAGATTATTAAAAATATTAATAGTAGAATAAAATATTTTATTTTTAAATATTTTTATAATAGCTTTTATAAAAGATTAAAGTTGAACTTCTTAAAATATGAAAAAAAATTACTTATTTTGTATAGAAAATATATTTTAAGTTAAAAATTCTAAACTTTTTTAATTAAAAGCTTAACTATATATTAACCTCTAACGAAAATATTTAAAGATAAAGTATATATTTTTTCAGATTTTAATATATTCAAATTATTAATTTGGAAAGTATTAAATTAATATATAATCAATTAAAGTAGTAATCTTATACTTTAGTTCATGTAAGAAAATATAAGTTTTGTAGGAATTATATTACACAATGTTATGGTGTGTAGTAAGTTGGTTTCAGAACTCTTACAAAGCATTTTGTATTACTACCGATGACACTTGACGAGATGAAGGGGGTGAACGAAAGTAATCCTACCGAGGAAATTCAACCCAACCTGCAACTGCTCGGAATATGATGACTTCATATTAAAGCAGACAACATGTTAAATCTCGGAGGAGCCGTGATCTGAATACATAATCATCATTTTCTAAAACAATGATATCAAGAGTAAAAAGCAATAAAATCTAAGCCAAGACATGTTACTTACGGGTTCGATGATCCGGAAGCAACGTTAATGAGTAGGAATAGAAAAAGAAAAAAACGATTTAAACTCCACTTTCACACTTGTTTCCTCCTCCGTTTTCCAGAGAATATGCCTGTCAACCCCACGAAATTCCATGCTTTCTCTCATTTGCAAGGATACAAAACTGTTACAGTAGTAAGGCTGGAAACAGCTCAACAACACAACATAATCCGATACAGTACATATTCCAAGAAACTGGGGACGCTGTTTTAGATTGGATGAGAATCAACGAGATGCAAATACAACGAATGCAGTAGTAGTATTTCTAGGGGCTTCCCTGTAAGAGAGTGACAATTCAACAATTTAGGAGTGTCCGGGGCACTCGGGTTCGAAAGGCTATATGCTATGCTAGCAATGCTAGTATGCTAATATCATGGTAGTACGCCGGAGATTTGCAATTTTTATTCTATTTCTTGTTGGTATAGTTACAATTGTTTTTGCTTTATTGTTTATACTATTCAATTTCCTTGGATTTGTTGCCAGAAACCCTCGCATCGTAGGATGCCTCAGATCGATCATTGATCAAAGCCAGTAACGCACGCACAGCATCACGACCGAAACGATCCATAACCCTGGTTTACTAAATTCGAACATTCTTAGATGAGACTGGGGTAAATACTAAATGGTGAGGCGGCCTCCCGAAGGGATGATTGTCTTGAATTATTTTCCTTTTCTTTTTCGGCTTTGCAATTAGCTGTTTCTTTGTCAACATATTTTTTTCCATCTGTGCTATGTATTTGGTAAGGGGGAATCATACCGGATATGATATGATTAATTTATCAAGGTTTCGTATGGTACTGTGTAGTAGCAGTGGATGCAAGATAAATTCATTCGTTTGCCCCCTCTCAATCGTTTAGTTTGTTTAATTCTTCATTACAAGATCATTCTCTTCAAGATTTGTTGTTCACTCTCCCATCTCACCCAGCCTCATCATTATACTATTTTTGCTTCATAACTGCGAGTGCGCCTGAGCAAAGCATCTGTTAGTTGGAAAAGCGTCAAGTGTATCACCAACTTACCAACCATCAAATCCATCCATCCAGAAGGATCGTAAGCGCTTATCAACCTTCCCCATTTCCCCATACAGAACCAACGTCTTCTGGTGCGTAGTAGCTATTTCCCCCATCATCTCCAGCCAACCCCGAACTGACCCCAAACTTATTAGCTCACGTACAATCTGGGGTAGTACCAGAAAATAATACATAAAGGTCCAAGGTCTCTCAACCTCCTCACCATATTCAAGCCGACCTTCATATCAACCTTTCGACCTTCACATAAAACCGTCCTCTACACTAGACCTCATCATACACTAATACTTCCTCATTCGAATATTAATACAACTTCATCACTCACATCATCAAACATGCCTTCTCAATCATCAACCACTACAATGGCTGTACCTATTCCCCGTCGTCGTCTATCTCCACTTCTTACCTCTTCCACCTTTGGCGAAGACGTCAGTTTCTATCTTGACACCGTCAAAGCGAACTCCAAGAACAAGACTCCATATATCTTCCACGAGAACGAATATGCTCCACCTGCCCCACCTCCACCATCCCCAATCAACTTCCCCGCCGAAAGTTGGAGCCCCGCTTGTCGAAGATAGATCCTACTCTGTTCGCTAGCATATTTACATTGGTAGTTTCATCACAGGGGTGTACGTTAGCGCGTGTGTAATCTTGTGAGGAGGTAGATATATACATGCGATATATCTTCTTTGTCCGTGATTACCCACCGCATTTTCATTTCGTCGCGTCTCGAATTTCGGCTCTGGTTTCATTATACATGAAGCAACATTTTCTTTGGGTTCATTCATGGAAGGAAGGATATCGCAGATGGCAGACAGTAGCCCGTTCATTATATGAAGTTCATTCATTCTTCCTATGGCATTCTAAACGCCATCTCTATCACAGCAACAACAACGGCAACGGCAACAACAACAATAGTTACAGTACTATGAATAGGGCATCGCTCACGCGTGCATTGGAGTTTTCATCAGGAGTTTTAAAAACGGGAGGTTATTATAATGATTTATTAAATTCATTCTTTGGATACTTCGGCAGGACATGATATTTTTAGTTTTTGGGCTTGCTTCTCTGGGTTTGCTTTCTTGCTCCTGGCATGAGCGTCTGTACATTTGGAGGGGTAATGAAATAGCATGGGATGGGATGGGATGGGATGGGACAGGACGGAATGGAATGGTATATCCATAGGGGCAAAGGACAATGTGTACTCTAGAGAGATTATTTTTAGGCAGGCCATGAATGAAAGAATGATCGAATACTTCTTTTCCACTTGACTCGTACTGTGAAAGAATGGCCAATTCTGATGAACGATCTCTGGGCTTTCTCCTTTCTGCGTACCACATATAGAATCTTTACATAGCATATCTACATAGCTACATAAAACCCCTTACTTACCCCAACCCATCCCGAAAACGTTCCCGTCAACATCTACCCCGAGTCTCACCCCACAAATTCACTATCTGCAAATCCGGGGAAGTAAGGAATACGAACCATGCATGCGAAGAATCCAAACTTAAATCTAGATTCCAAATCTCATTACGATACTTTTTCTGATAATGGCTTGATAGTGGCTTGATGTTAATAATAAGTAAATATGCACGCTAGCAGCATGAACCGAGAAAAGCTAAATATGGTACCGAACCGGATACGGCTCGGGAGAAAACTTAGGAGAATGCGGATATTTCGGGTTCATTAACTTTTCGAGAGGGGAAATTGAGAATGTGTTAATCTAATTGTTTGAGAAGAATGCGGAAGTTTCCGTTTTTAGCAAGTTTTAGACTTTGCTATCTCTTCGAGGACAATTGGTCGAAATGGTTATATTTGTTAGAAACACGTGTTGCGCTAGTGCTAGCTTGGAGAGCTGGCCTTTTCTCAACCTCACGCATATTAGTATAGATTGTCAGCTACACAATATCCAGGTACATGGCATTAACCTCATATCGCGACTTGCTATACTGGGCATGTACAACCTGTAGGCCCACCAATCCAGAAGGTGGGGGAGATAGTGATATGCACGTGATGGTACGTGATGGTGGGGGGCACGACATTGGAGTACAACTCAACAAGCTTTTCACTTCTCGGTTTCGAGCTCTCTAGCATCTCAATAGCTCTCTATTCAATCCTTGATATTTAACCATGACGACTACAGATGAAATACCAGGTCAAGCAGGACTCCCATCTCTGAACCCCACTAAATCTTTCTGGCATAGTGAGCCATCGAAGATCTTATTGGGTCATAGAACCACAGCGAACCTTCCTACAGAAGCTGATGTTGTCATTGTTGGGAGTGGTATTGCAGGGACTTCTGCTGCACATTGGTTAAGAGAGCATAATGATGGAAAAGATCTCAATGTTGTGATGTTAGAGGCGAGAGAAGCTTGTTGGGGAGCAACTGGTAGAGTGAGTTAGGCGTCGTCTCTAGTCTACAATATATTAGTGTCTGGTCACTAACGAGACTGCATGATTTAGAATGGAGGTCATTGTCAGCCACTTGTTTATGCTTCACCTCCAGAAGTCGGGGCTTTTGAAGTGAGAAATTATGAGGATATTAAATCTTTTGTGGCGGAAAATGATGTTCAATGTGATTGGAAGTCATTATCCAGTTGTCACTCTTATATGTCAGAAGATCAGTTTGAGGTAGCTGTCAAAGCTGCGGAAGCCCTCAAGGATCTGGATCCAACGCTAGGCAACTTAGTTACCATTATCACCAAAGATTCTACCAATCCATCATTATCAGACCTTCGAATTCCCACAGCAGCTGGCGCAATTGCGACCTCCAAAGCTGCCTCACTCTGGCCTTACAAATTGGTTGCATGGATTCTAGAAGATTTGATCGCCAAGAATGAATCCTCAAGCTCGCCACAATTCAATCTCCAAACCTCAACACCCGTAACCGGGCTTCAAAAGTCTTCCTCGGAATGGATAATCCACACTTCTCGCGGCCAACTCTCAGCCCCCAAAGTTTTATTGGCAACAAATGCCTACACATCACATCTTCTTCCCTCATTCTCTGATCTTATTACTCCTGTCCGCGGTGAAATGTCTTCACTTCTACCTCCATCTACCATGTCCCCGGCTATAGAATCTTCAAACAAACCCTTAGAATACTCCTATAGCATCATGGGTCATTTCGGTCAAAACATAAACCGGGATGATTATCTCGTCCAACGACCATTTTCCTCCACAACCTCATCGCAACAAGAATCAGGAGGAGAATTGATGTTTGGCGGGGGTCGCCAATTTGCTGCCCAAGCTGGTTTGGGTGTCTTCGATGATTCATCTATTGATCCTCCTGCTGCGAATTACCTCCGTCGAGAATTGCCTCGTACACTCAATCTTCACAACAATGAAGAAGAGCTCGAGGCTACTTATGAATAGAGTGGGATTATGGGATTTAGTAGAGATAATTGGCCCTGGGTGGGGAATGCGAGTGAGAAACTGGGAGGGGGGGCGGGTTTATATGTTTGTGCTGGTTTTACGGGACATGGAATGCCGACGGCTAGGTTGAGTGCTAAGGCAGCTGTAGGCTTGATGATGGGAGATAAGATGGAGACTATTGATTTACCTGAGAGGTATGTCTTGAGTGAGAAAAGAGTTAGAAAAGCAAGAGAGCTGGATGTGGTTGGCGTTGCAGATGAGAAGGGTGAGTTTTGCTAGAGTGGTGAGGTTGTGGTTTTTGCGTGGGAATACATGATCCATGGTAGCCAGCCCCGATGTGCTGTCTCCTCATTTTCATTCATACTTTGAATCTTTTTAATAATTATTTGTTCGTTTTATTCTTTCGTTGATAAATAAACAGATGAGCGCTTTAAGATTGTTTCTACAGCCAGATTCTCGTTTTCTCATAACCTCTTTTCATTCACTGCAAAGTGCCATCGTGCGCAGAAGTTATAGAGATACTATTGGAAATCATTTGTTTAATCTTCATTGCATCGGATCATACGAGAGATTGTAATTGCGTCAAGACCAATTCTTGCATTGGCATTTAAGAAACAAGACGTCAATTTCCGCAACAAAGAAGGCTTTCAAGGTTCTCGAGCCGATTTCCCTAGCCCAACATTCCGTTTTCATGAATACCTCGTCAGAGAACTCGCTTTTGATAAAAACTCCCTCAGTAGGTTCCTCCTTGACAATCTCTTCCTTGAAATCCTCCATCTTGACAATAGCCTTCTTGATTGCCCTCTCTTCAATACTCTCCTCCTTAGTTTCCTCCACATCATTATCCTTCACTACACGCTTCAATTCATCATCCACCCAAATATTATATTCCGAATATTTTCCCTTATACTGCAACCTCTTCCGTTCCTTCTCCAACCACTCTCCATACCACAACCCCGTTTTCCACTCTAAATAAATTAATTCATCCCACGCAATCTTCTTCACTCGTTCCCAGTGCTGACGTCGAATAACACTATTGATTCGATTTTCTAATTTATCCAAACACTCCCGCACTACCTCTTGATTTTATCGCATAATCAAAGAACCGAGACTAGGAGCCGCCATATCACGCAACCAATCGCGCGTCTCGCGATAAATTAATTTGCGCCCGAGGTTATAAATGCATCGCGCGTTCATCTTGTCGGGGTTGCAGGCAAATTCATGCTTTAGAGGTATCCAATACCTCTGTCCATTGGTGTTGATAAATATTTTCCAGGATCTGTGGGCGTAGAGTTGTGAACCGTCGGGATTGTGATAGTAGTAATGACCGTCTTCTTCAAAATGGTCAGTCACGGATTTTATTGGAGACAGCTGGTTGCGAGAAGTGCTAAAAGAAGTGTAGAACAAACCACCGAAATTGTAGTATCTGGAACCAGTCAGCTGCAAAGATGCTAGACTTTGATGAGCAGTGAAGGGGAGGGGAGTTGGTACTCTGGTAGCGAGTCTATTTGGAGGTATGTCCATGGAATAGGCTAGAGACATCGCGATATCTAATAGATATTAAATGTGCGCGGAGTGAGGTCTGAGAGATTGTCGCGAAAGTTCAGCGAGATTTGATGAGATTGAGGCCTGTAAACTCTTATTGTTTTAGAGGGATTAATTGCTTGAAATGTTTGTGTTTGATTTAATTCAATTGTTCTCATAGTGAATTCTCTGCTTTGTTGTGTGGGTAATGGTGAATTTGATGAAAAGATGGATTGAAGGAAAAGAAGCTGTGAGAGAGTGTGTTTGCGAGCAAGATAGGGTTGATTGCGGTATTGGCTCTATTGTGTGCACTCCCGCAGCTCTTTCAAATACTGAATATTTTGAATGAAAGGAGCCCATCAGTTACATTTTGCAGTTTGAGAAGTTCATCGTATTCTCGTCCAAAAACCTGTAAGGAGTTTCTACACACGACTACCTACATTTCGACAAGGACCTAATCACTTCTTCTACTGAAATCGGCTCTTCTTCTACATTCGCCAACCTCCCCTTCAAAACACGTATCATCTCTCGAGTCTTTTCAATTTCTTCCTCCTCACAATACGCCTTCCCCTCTCCTCTCCACCAATCCAAATTCCCCTCTTCCCTCTCGATTCCATTCTCAAAATGTTTCTTCCATGCTTTAACCATTTCTGCTCTTTCTCCCTTCCAGTATCCATGATCAGCAATAGCCTGTTCTAGCATTTCATTTGCATCAATGACTAATTTTCTTCCCTCCTCAAGAATAATATTCAACAGTATAACATCTTAGGGGTCTGTATCAGGATCACGATCCCACACCCCCATACGTACACGCCTAGAATGAGAATTTAGAGATTCTGTGACGCTATCTAGATTGAGCTTTTGATTTATTATATCAGAGGCAGAGTCACAGGCATGGTTTCTTATGGTTAAAAACTCGCGCTAGCGGGAGTAGGCAGAGTCGAAGCTGGTGTGGTTGAAGTTATGGGGCCAGCCGTAGGTTCGGAAGAGGAGTCTGAGATCTTCGTACTGGATTTTATTAGACAATTATACAGGTGAAATTTAAGAAAGAAAGAAATGGTGGAATGGTTAATATCGATATCGATGTCGAATGAGGAATATTTGGGGTTGAGATGGCACTAGGAAAAAAATGAGTACATCTTCATCCGATTCTGATAACACTCTACGGTCCTCAGAACTTGGAATCCATTGAAGTTTCAAAAGCCTGTTGGTAAAATCTTCGAAGAGTTCTCTAGCGTGGCGGCTGGGAAGATGGTCATGAGAATTGCGATTACGACTTTGAAGACCCCTATGGAGGTTATATGCGCCGGGATCTTCACTACGACCGGAATCTTGACCTTCCATTGTTATGTGGCCTGGTTTGAGTTAGTATAAATCATTGGACCTAGATTGATATTTAGAAAAATGGAGGTGAAAGATAGATGTAGGTATCCAAGTCAGGTGGAGAAAAGATCTGGGAGGTGGTCCGACAAGAATATTTGAGTGGAATGCTTGTAGTTGACGGTCCGGAAACTGATGTCGCTATCATATCAGCCTTCTGAGTCGGCTGTACTCTATGCCAGAACTTTGAAAGTCTTGTTCAGAAGCTCAACTTGTTTATTTCCTGTATTGAAGACCGCCGCTTGCGAGCTTGTATTCTTACAACAAAACAACCAACGACGCAAGATATAATGACGAAAATTTCAAACTCCCACCATTTCTCGTGTCAAGAAACATCATCGCTCCATGATTTCCACATCCATTGATACAGAGTTCCCAAGGTCTCATATACTCCCCGTTCTCATCATCAAATCCATCTTCAGGAGAAGCAAATCCCGGATCTCGACTCTGCATCAACACTTCCAGATCCCTCATATTGGCAAAACTTCCACCAAGGATAAACTCATCTTCATTGCTATAACCCTCAACATATGGCAGGGCTTGAAGAAGCTCAATAACTTGTGGTTCAAGATCAAAACTCTTTGCGAGATCCACATCGATGGGAGGATCATGGGGTGCATATTTGATGTAGGAGGCGGGAAAGTAACGCATTTTGGCAAGAAGCTCGTAGTATTGTGTTAAAAGTGTTACTATCTCCTGTTGATCATAAACTCCACGTTTCTCGGGCTGACCAAGTAAGGTTATACCGGGGAAAGTATGCATTTGACAAGACATGATATTCGAATTCGGAGGAAAATTTGGAAATGCGATTCATGAGATGAAAAGGAAAGAGTATGTAAATAGTATGGCATCATAATGATGAATCGAAGTAACAGATCCTTACTTATATAAATTACTAGGTAGAAGAACTACAGATACCACCTCGCGAAGTTTCCCCTTTCTAGATGGCTGCCTACCACAAAAGGTGGAGCAGTTTGAAGCTGAAGCTTTGTCACATTTAAAATCAATCACATGATACAACCTCACCTCATTGAGAATTCTGCCGATTACACCGCCTAAATCTTCAACTCCGTCAACAAAATCAATACAATTAACCGTGTTTGTTCGAACATAATTACTTAATGATCTCACCGACTGATTGTTATTATTAAGAAGCAAAGCTTTGAGGCTATTGCTCGACTGGACTACCCAATGTTGAGAAGACTGGTTTGTAGAAGTTCAATCCACATCTGAAGATCAATTATTAAAGTTCATAGAATCTCCATGGCCGGATACTCAACCCACTATACCGCCGCAATGTACTTCGTGTACCAAGACAGTGCAATCAGAGTCTTGAATATTCATTCGTAAGGGGTTATTCATCAGAACTTGTTTTGGAAAAGAAACCTCAATCTCCGACGAGTGATTGGTTATTTGATATTCCTCCAGTATTCAATTCACCAGACGAACTTGGAAAGCCTCTTCCGCCTATAGCTGTCTTTTCGAGAGATAAAATTGATTGGGAGGCTGTAGATAAAATCTTCATCAAACGTCCGAAATTAGCTAAAAGTCTTATTAGACATGGTGACACTGGAATCAGTAAGGTTGCGTTCCTTGCTTCTCTGAACGAGGTCAGATTGAGCAAAGCCCACTGTACTTTTGAATATGAAAGCCAGAGTTATTTTGGAACGGATGGTCAGAGGATTCTTTCTAAATGCAGCCTGACTTTCAACCTTCCTAATGAAGCTCCTATAAATATCGTTGGGTTATCTACCAAAAAGGTAGGTTCAGTCTCTCAAGTACTTTGGAAAGCTTTACTAACTAATAGTTCTAGTGTTTGGCTAGAGGAGTTGCACTGTTACAACTTTTCCCCATTCTTGAAGAAAAGCAAGTATTAGATGACTTGTTACTCCTCATCTCACAAAAACGGGTTGTTCAAACAGAACAAGAGAAACTCGATCAGAATGTTCAATCCACAGAGACTCAACCAGTAGTGCTAATCGAACCAGCGGAGACAAAATCAATTCCGGATGCTCTGTTAACACACAAACATGAACCACCGGTAGAACCGAAATTATTGATGTCGGCAAAAATACCGAAAGAGCTCACATCGAATCATCTTGCCACGCGTGAAGTGTTTAATTATGCAGCAAGATATCTACACATCCCGGAATACACTGTCAATGTCCAGAAAGTTCCTGAAAGAGAACGCTCGAGCAACCTCGTCATATCAAAAAAGCCTGCAACTGCAAAAACAATTTTTACTGTCACTATATCTTTGCCTGAACATAGTATTCATGCAACCGCAACCAGTTTCGATCTCGCATTTACGGAGACTATGGCATGTACAGAGTTCAAAGTGCAAGCCGAGAAGCACCATATTGCGAATACCATACCTTCCGATTCATTAGAAGAACCAATCGTTTTAACCACTGCAAACGTGAGAAACTTTATAGATTTCTATAATGACTACAATGACAGATTAGTCATTCGGATAAAGCGCGAGGACGACATTTTCAAAAGTCAAGCCTTTACCAGGGATTCTGACACTACAGCTCTTGAAACACTTGGTCCGGCTATTGAGAGAAGCAGTTCTCGTGACCTTGAAACGTTGACTCTTCTAGTTGCTGCAGTCACACTAGTTAAGCAAAGACCTCAACTACTCTTGGATTATTCGAAAAAGCTGGATGTAAGAACTGGAAAATACGTGGGCAGAGCTCTTCCTATGAAGCTTGAATTACACCAGACTAGTCTGGAGTTAATGCAACGCACGGTAGAAACCACCACAAAGCTAGACTTATCAATACTACCTACTGGTGAATGCAAGGACCATGATGTCCCTGCCTTGGTGGACTATCACAAAACCCGCTCCGAGTATCCTCATGGCTGGGAAGTTAAAAATCGTTGCCACAGTTTATTGAATTGGTTTTCTCAACGTTCGTACAAACAGAAATACTCGAAGTTACTCCCTTTAAATCAGAATTCATTTGAAGTCTTGAATCACATTGAAGATAATCAATTCTCTATTTTAATCGGGAAAACTGGGAGTGGAAAGACGACTCAATTGTCTCAAATAGTTTTTGATTACTATATTCGTACAAAACGTGGTGGAGAGTGTAGGGTCATCTGTACGCAACCGCGAAGGATAGCCGCGAAGTCAGTGGCAGAACGTGTTGCTGAAGAACGTGGTCAAGAGCTGGGTGATCAAGTCGGTTACAAGATAGGTTTTGATACTAAACTCCCCAATCCTCACGGAAGCATCACATATTGTACCACAGGAATTATCTTACAACAATTAATACACCATCCCGATGCTATACTTGACAGCACAACACATCTTATTATTGATGAAGTCCATGAGAGAGATCTGGACATCGACTTCCTTTTAACCATGGTTAAAAAGCTTGTGAGAGCCAGAATTGAAGCTGGAAAACCTGCACCAAAAGTGTGCTTGATGAGTGCCACCGCTGACGCCGAGATGCTTCAAGAATATTTTGCTTTCAAAGATGGAGCCCGAGAAATTACCTGCCCAGTTCTACATGTGGAAGGCCGAGCTTTCCCTGTAGAAAAATACTATCTCGAAAATATAATGAATACTTTCAGAGAAACATACTCAACAGGCCATCCTATATGGGACCTTCTCGACTCAACAAAGAACAAGACTTATCTAACGAGTGAACAGCGGATCAAGAAAACTGATTTAGTCGTGGATATTGAGAATGAGCAGCCTGAATCAGCGATCAAATGGGACAGCCATGACGATGATCCCGATAGTCTACAGAAGCAGATAGCAATGGACACTTTGGAGGGGCAAGTACCCGTTGATCTGGCTGCTATTGTGGTTGCACACATAGCGAGTACTACAGAAGATGGTGCAATACTACTTTTCCTGCCGGGCATACGAGGTATCAATCTCATTGAAAACAATCTAAGGACGCAAAATGTTTTTAATGTAAACTTCAATGACGAAAGTAAGTTCAAGATTCTGAAGTTACACTCCTCTACTGCAGATAAACATCAGGAAGTCTTCAAGCCAGTCTCTCCAGGTTGTCGAAAGATCATTTTAGCCACAAATGTTGCTGAAACCTCAATCACTATTGACGATATTCAATACGTTGTGGATACTGGAAAACACAGGGAAAACAATTTTCATCAAATGTTACGAATTTGGTCACTGCCTTGTAAATGGATTAGCAAATCGAGTGTGAAACAGAGATCAGGTCGAGCAGGCCGTGTTCAAAACGGTAGTTATTATGGCCTCTTTTCGTGAGTCATTCCTCCAACTCCTTCTGCTTTTTGATATTGACATGAGGCAGAAAACGTCGCTATGATTCCCTTAGAACAGCCCCTCGCCCAGGAATGAGTCGCGTTGATTTGCAGAACACCTGTCTCGCAGTTAACATTCTGGGTTACAATGAATCTATTCAAAATTTCTTAGCCAGCGCTCCAGAGCCTCCATCACCTAAAGCAATACAGTCAAGCATTGAGGGTCTTCAAACACTTGGAGCACTCACTTCCACAGAAGAAATTACTCCTTTGGGCCGAATAATTGGGATGCTCCCGTTGAGGCCCGCACTGGGCAAAATGGTGATTCTCGGAATCGTTTTTCGTTGCTTAGATTCTATGATAATTTTAGCAGCCTTTGACAACATAATACTTCAAGTGCGTCCACTATATATGGAAGAAGAATCTGATGCGGCAATGAGAGGATTTGCAAGGAGATCCAAAAGCGATCATGTCGCCATGCTCAATGCTTTCCGTGCACTTCGCCATTTGGAAGAGGTTGATGGTCGCGGAGTCATGGCCTCATTTGCATACCAGAAGTTTCTGAGTGTAGCAAAATATGACACAGTGAAGCGAAACATTGGTTTAATCCAACAAGCGCTTCGAAGAAATGGTTTGGTGGTAAATCAAGAGACTCAAGGCGTAGCCGGAATTGGTGAAATGTATGGCGGAGAGGTTCTAAACGAGAACTCGGATCAGGATGAATTGATCAGAGCACTTCTTGTACAGGGTCTGTATCCGCACATTGGTACATGGAGTAATCGCGAAACCAAATATCAAATCGTCGCCAACGAGAAAGTACTCGTTCATGTACATCCATCTTCTATCAATCACCCTCGGCAGCAACCTAACTTGAAAGTTGAAGGCATTACATCTCCATCAAAAGGCAATGCCCGGTTGTTATGCTTTGATAAGCTCACTCTCCTAAGCAATAAAAACCTTGTCATGCAACGTACAACTGCTGTAACACCTTTTATGGTATCCTTGTTTGGCGGGACGCTGAGTCAAAGTGCAGATAATGCAAACCAAGTCGAAGTAGACAAGTGGCTTCCATTCGATGTGCGAAGCACAGACAAACTGAGAGGTGCAGAGGGTGTTGCGGGACAGACCCTTGTACGTTTCAACAAGGCATTGCGACAGCTAGAAAATATTTCGTTCAACGATTTGGCCAACGGGGAATACGTTGCAGACAATGAATTATCTCATAATTTCGCGAAAGCTCTGAAGGGAATGTTAATCACGGAACAGGATATTGATAGACTTGCGGAAGAGGTCGAACTCGACCTTGCTATGGACCTACGCAAGTTTTGGAATCGATCCGAATCGCCAGTTGATAGAATACCACCAAAGGAATCTAGGGAGAATGTACCAAAGTTTTCACTCCTTGAAGAAACACAAGATGATGAAGATTCGTACGGGTCTTTTTTGGAATTGGTTGAAAGTGCTTTGGAAGGTCCCACTACCACTAAGCTTCACTCGGAAGTAGCATCTTCCTCCTCACAAGTCGAGTCACAGCCCTTCACGGAAAATGTGGCCACTAAAGATAGTGATGGTGATGAATCAAAGAATTCGGGAAATCTAATTCCTTTCAAGTACATGCCTGGATCCAAATTCCTAAACGGGCGTCGAAATACTGGAAATGTGCCTCTGAAAGACCGGCTCAGTAGCTCAGAAACCCCTCCTGGGAATAAATCTAAAACCAAAGAAATCAATCACTTATTAAACAACATATTTAAAGGGTTATAAAACTCACACCGGCAGATATCCAAAAAAAAACTTTTCACGAGCGATTATTACCTTGTCTTTCAAAATCTCGAAAACACCTTCATCGAGAATGAAAAACACAGAATGTTACTCTCGGAGAATATGAGCAGTACTTCTACGACTACTTTTGATGCTACCGATCGCGGTTCAAGCCGATATCGAAGCAGCGGAGAATAATCCAGATATTGTCTATACACCTGCTTACAGTATTTCCTATTACGACTTCAATCGTCCTGAAGATCAAAAATGTAGAAGTCAACCCCGAGCGATTTACCCATACAAAATTCGATATTTTGAAACACATGATATGTGACGCAATTCATGGGCTCGTATTACTGTGGAAAAGGATGTAATCTATGGTACGCTCGAGGATTTGAGTGACATGTTACTCCCAAGGGAAAGACATCGGGAGATGAATCGATTTGGATTTTCTGTTGCCACGGCTTGACATTTTCCTTTCTCTCTAAGGGTTCTTGAGGTAAAGAGGCAAATACGAGGAAAAACATAAAGATGTGCCTCCACATTCCGCTGCCTTGCATATTGGGTCAGAAAGCGTTATTGCACATAGTTACAATTCATACTCTGTTTCTCGGGATCAAAATAGTACAATTTTCTTACAGGATATCAAACTTTAAAAGAATACGAAAAAAACTAAGAAGAGTTGTTTCGAAATAACTCTTTAATTTATATCGTATTCGAATTAGGGAATCATTCTATACCTTTTTCTATAATTATTAAATCGGTATTTATTTGAGTTAAATAGTTATTATTATTGATACAAAAAAGAAGATATATCGTATTTGTTTAAGATATTTAAAAATGATTAATATTATTATTATATAGAATAATCATATTAAATGAATTAGTGGAAGAGATTTCTTAAAGATTTTTATAATGATTTAAACCTTTTAATATTTAATGATTTTATAGAAAAGTTTTATAAGAGTTATCGAACTTACTTACCGTACCCTATAAATTTTTGTAATAAAATCTCTATAAAAATGATGTTTTTCTATACAAATTAAAAAATTAACAACTTTTTCAATTCAAAGAATTTTATTTTCAAAACTTGAAAATAAATAAAGAATATTATACTTTATCGAAAAAAAATATATATATTTTTTTAATTTTTTTTTCATGAATTATATAGATTTGAAGTTAGAAAAATTAATTTTTTTTAACTTGTAATACTTTTCCCATACAAAATAAACGATTTTTTAGAAAATTTATAATTTTTATCTTTAATAACTTGTGACTTTATGAATAAAATATTTAAAAATAAACTAGTAGTTTTTTATATATATAATTAAATTAATTCTAAATCGATTTTATATTCTTTTTGTTATTTTATATAAAGTTTGAATAAAGAAATAGGGGTCTTAAAAGCTAAAAAATTAATAGTATTAATAGGGAAATTGAAATCTGTACGATGAGGAGGTGCTAGAACTTTATATAAAAAAGAAGGTTTTTAGGTATAGGAAAATGAAAAAGGAAAATCTCTTTAAAAGTTCTACTTATTTTAAGAAATATCTTCAACAAGATTATTAATATATAAAAATGAAATCCTTTTATAATACCTACAATTACTTTATACAAGGAAAACAATATTCTTTAAATCTCGATATAATATAATTTACATATATAAGAGTAATCCTAAAGTATAGTAGAAATTATAATATATTAATACTAATTATATCCTCTTACAACATATAATACATTATTAATTACTTAGAAAGGAAATAACAAACTTTAATAATATAGAACATATATTATATTAAAAATCAATATTATAATTCATTCTATACTTATTATACAATTTATTTTGAATTATTAATATATTAAATATAGATTAAGATTAACTATATAATTACTCATCTTCTTTATTATAAGATTTTAGAAGGAATATGAAAAAAAATCAAGAAGAGCCTTTTCGAAATAACTCTCTAATCTATATCGTATTTAAATTAGGGAATTACTTTATATTCTTTTTTATAGTTATTAAGTTAATATTTATTTAAATCAAGTAATTATTATTGTTAATATAGAAAAGAAAATATATTATATATATTTAGAATATTAAAAATAATTAATACTATTATTATATAAAGTAATCATATTGAATAAATTAGTAAGAGGAATTTCTTAAAGATTTCTATAATAATTCAGGCCTTTTAGTATTTAATAATCTTATGAAAGGAGTTTATATATAAAGAAAAAGATTCTTAGATATAAAAATAAATAAGGAAAATCTCTTCAAAAAGTCCTATTTATTTTGAGAAATATTTCTAACAAAATTATCAATATATAGAAATGAAATCTTTACATAAAACTTATAATTACTTTATATAGGAAAATGATATTCTTAATATCTTAATTTAATAAAACACATAAGGATAATTCTAAAGTATAATAGAAATCGTGATATATTAATATTGATTATATTTCTTTATAATATATAATATATTATTAACTATTTAAAAAGAAAGTAATAATCTTTAATAATATAAAGTATATATTATATTAAAAATCGATATTATAATCTGTTTTATACTTATTATATAATTCGTTTTAGATTATTAATATATTAAATATAAGTTAAGATTGATTAATGTAACTTATAGTGAACCAAGTCATATGGAGAACCGGGTCACAAAATTCAATTCTCTTTATATAATTTTGTTCTATAAGCTATATATTCATTCAATTTCAATTCTAAATTATTTAAACTATTCTCTAACTTTTCTTCTTTAGTTTCCTCTTTTAATTCTTCAATTGGATATTTATATGATTGTCCTCATGACTTTTTCTCCTTAGGTTTTTCCTTTACCTTATATATCATTTTTAGTATTTCCTTATTATTAAAAACAAATTAATCTTATAATTTGATTCTTTTATTTTTAATTCTTTTCTTTTAAGTTTCAATTATCTTCTGAATATTAGCGAGCTGTTTCCGAAGTAGAGCTATCTTAGTATTCTGAGATTCTACAAGCTTAATCATTCTCTTAATATATCGACAAATTAATAATACAAAAGAATCATTATTTGTTAGAGCTTTATTAAAGATCTGATTTACTTGCCTTAATTCTATCCTATCTAAAAAAAAGCTCCTAAATATAGATAAGTTTAAATCTTAATTGAAGGTTTTTATTTATAAAGTGGAAGATTGTTAAGAGGAGTTAAATGGTAATAAATCGAGTACTTTTCGTGGGGCAAAAGGTATTAAACCAGCTCTTCTCCAGCCAGCTTTAATATTAGAAGAATTCAATGCTTTTTTTTAATATTTTGAAAGAGTTCTATTCATTCAGCTCTTTGGATTTGCTTTACATTAGTTCGAAAATATCGATCAACCTTTAAAGCATGATATCGTTTTATTGGCCTATATACTATAATATTAAATGGTTGAAGTAAGTGAGAACAATGAAAAGGTAATATAAGTAAATCAATATCCTTCTCTATATAGAAAGCAATAAAGCTATCTGTAATATGACTTGAATAACTATTCATAATCAAAAATCGAGATTGGTTATTTAATACTTTCTTGAATTCTAATTCGAAAACCCTTTTTAATCATTCTAATTCATAATTGTTTGAGGTTTATTCATTTATATTAGTAAAGAACTATTAGCTTTGAGGTATATTCTTTAAAATCTATATAGAATTTGTATTCTAAGCCTTGAAAATAATCATAGATAATAAAGCCTTTTTAGCTATATTGACATATTCAAATACAATTATTTATTCTTACTTACCAACTATAACTTTCCAATTCGATTTCTAAGTAGAATCGACTATAATATATATACTTTGAATACTTCCAACTTTAAATTCGATTTTATTTATATTATATATATTATTTAATTTATACTTTTGTTTAATGAGATGTATATAAAACGTATTAAACTAAGCCTGAATATTCTCTAGTATTATCTCTTTAGTTCAATTAGACTCTAATTGATATAAGTAGTATGTTTTAAGTTTTGAATATCGTTTTTGGAATCTATAGATCCATTTATAGCTGTTACGACGGATAACAAGAACTACAGGATTAGCATCACGTGACCATAAAAGCCGACAATCGAAATCGACTTTCGACTTTCGACTTTCGAAACTCGACCATCGGCTTTCGACAATCGACTCAAGAGTTAACAGAGCAGGAAGGTCTATATAAGGGAACAGGATTTCATTACAATGTAGAGCTTCGTGCTCAAGAACAATCATTAGTTTCATTACTATAGTTACGAGAATTGCAACCAGTTACAACCTTATTGAATTCCTACTTGAAGTCTAGTCTAAACCACCTCGAGAGATCTCTAGACACTTCCACGTGACCCTAGAGGCAGCTCCCGTAACAATAGCCTATAAATGGAATTTCTATCGAGGTAGGAATTCGAGATGATATGACCTGAACGCATCAAAAACGAATTTCATTAACCATTTTCTTCATCAATATAGGTGTAACAGGAAATCTAATGATAATAAGTTGTAAAATCCATTATACAAAAGTATTTTCTTTTACATTTGAAAGAATTTGAGTCATTTTATGAGATTGAATATGTGATTTCCTTTCAGTAATCCTAGCTATAAGAATTGATTTAAGAACTTCAAAATACTCTGCAGTCTTTTTAATTGATTTAAATTCCTTCAATTGAAATGTAATAATAACATTCTATATCTTCTCTTCAATTTGAAAAGATATAAAAAGTGATTCAATATACATAGCAAAATTTGTTAGGGTTTGAAGTTAGTAATGGGCTAAATATAACTCAATTCCCTATATAACCTGGTTCACTATAAGTTACATTATATAATTATTAATCTTTTTCCTTACAAAGCTTTAGAATTCTTCTATTAAAGAAGTAGTATTAATAAAACTAAATGAAGATAATAGATTTCGAATAGAATCTAATCTAATTAAAGTATTAAAAAAAGAAGATTTGGAATAAAATATTTTATAATATAGAGTTAGAATTGGAATTATTAAT